TTACTATTATTATCATTACCATGACTATTGTTATTTATTATTAATTTCTTGAATACTCAGCCACACTAGTTTTTTTTGCAACTTACATCCAACCACTCCCAATAGCTGTCTTGAAAAATTCAGTGAACTACTTTTTTTATACTTCGCTTTTCCGTTTTTTCCATATTTTTACCTTAAGTTCAGATCAAGTTAAGCAACACCACCCCTGGTATAAATGAAATTTTGTTGATACCATAAATACCAACAAAAAAGCCAAGTTCAAAAATAAGAAACACGATCGGGTTATACAAGAAAACATGAGCCTCCTCACTATATTTACGATTCCTTATCTTTCTAGCAGAAGTTACCATTATTACCAAAAAAATGTTCATAACAAAACTCAACAAATTAACATTTGTTGTTACATTTGCTCAGTCAAGACTTCTTTGACAGCCCTCTTCTTGAAACTTAGAAAATTGAAGACTGAATTTGAAACAACACTTTCTGAGCTACTGATGCACGCCTAAACGTATACAGCTGAAAACCAACCAGCTCTCGTTCTCCTCGTAAAAATATTATTCAAACTTGACGCTACAAAATCCGTTGTCTAACTGCTGCGCTAGGTAAAATAGGCTAATTCAACACAAAAGAAAATTTTTTTGATTAATGCAAACACTTTAAGGACCGGTATTCGAGATGTAATTAAGGTTAGATAGATATGAAATTCTCCTGTAATTTTCTTGGGCAGGGTAAAAAAGCAAAAATTTATCTGTTCAAAAATCAACACCAACTGTAGCGGCTACATTTGGTTTTAAATGATTTGTGCGCTTCCACCAACGATTCCTCCAATCTTCTTTCCACCCCTTGTATCTCAAATTTTCAACAAAACTACCACCAGTATCAGAAAAAAAACAACTAATCACTGATAGTGTGTGAAAGAAAAATTTTAAAGATATTAAGCGACTGCGCAGTAAGCAGCTAATATTAGCTAAAGCTCTGTTTGATTTTGAAGAGCTTCGCTACAAACCGGTATCTTAAATTCTTGTTTCAATTTCGTACCTTCGTTAAAAACACCGCGCAGTGAGAATTTATTCTTTGCATGAAAACCTTCCTTTTCTTAGCGAGAGCACCTTAAGCAGATTAGAAACTTCAGAAACTACTTCACAGTAGTTTTTTGGATAAGAATCCTTCGTCTTCCACAATTAAATGTCAATTCCTGCGACCATTGCCGGTCAAACAGTAGAGCAAAAATAAAAAAAATAACAGCAAAAATCGTAATTTTTTTTTACTTGTGTAATGTTTACCATAACTCAAATCGACAACAGTCATAAAACTAACAGAATGATTGAAAACTCAATTCCACTGTGCTTTACGCCTAATTTAGCACTCACTTAAAAAGTTTTTTTTATTTGGAGGCCCATCTGAATATGGATGGATCACAATTTTTGTTCCAAACCGATAAACAAAGTAACAAGCCCTTGCGAAACTGACTTTGAAAATTTCAATGCTAAGGAAAGGAATTGTCAATTTTTGTCGTCTTCTATAAACCTTTCCAGTTGCCTTTAAAGAAAAAAAAAATCAAATTCTCTTGTTTTTCTTTTCCCCCATTCAGCCTGTCTTCTACACCGTTTCATCATTACCCCCCAAAAAACGCCATAAAGCCGAAAGCGCTTGATGTATGAAGCTAGACACTGTCTAATCAGATATCCTAAGCTTCAAAACTTTGCTAGCTAAACGTTAAGAAGATTCTTTCTGCGGACGTATAAAAGCTTAATACCACAACAAAAAAAAAAAAAAAAAAAAAAA